ACATAAAAAAAAAAAAAAAAAATATACCGACGAATTGAATACCTCCTTCTTTTGGGAAGTCGGTCAAAAAACACAAAAGTAGCCTATGTGTTCATTCAGACTATCCTTTACATATATACTAAATTTCATCGTTATCCGTTGGGCAGTTTAGGTAACAATCTCTAATAAACGTCCATTAAAGTCACATTTATAATTTTACTACCTTTCGCCCGCGACTCCGTCCGCGTGGGATGAAAAAAAAAACAAAAGTGAGTACCCTATGTGTTCTTCCAGACTATCCTCTACATCTATGCCAATTTTCATCGAAATCGGTTCAGCCTTTTAGGCTACAAACTCTAACCAACCATCCATCTATCCAACTAAACTTTCGCATTTATAATATTAAAGTGAAGAGTAAGAATTACGTCCATCTGAGGAGGCAGATGACCAATTGTAGCTATCTATACCCATGTAAACAAGCCAATCAGTGTTTTTTCAATTGTCATGACACATATTGTTCTCTTTCTTTTCAAAGAAAATGACAAGGATGCATACAGAAAAATTTCTCTAGAATAAATGCTACACGAATTACACAAAACTAATTCAGGAAACACGTAACAATTTACCGAATGACTGCACACTGGAAGCGAAATCTAGTTTCCAACAGTTTTCATATAAAAACTTCCGAACGCGTTCATTCGGGAAATTGAGTTGTTACAAATTTTCATGTTGATGTTTTTATGCAATTTTGGTTCAGTTTTTTTAATTGAGGAGGGTAAAGGCAACGTCATTTTACAGCCAGATAACGTATATTTAATAAAGGTATATCTAATCATACTAATATTATAAATGCGTGTTTATGGATGGATGTTTTTTAGAGTTTGTAGCCTAAACTACTGTAGGGATCTCGATGAAATTTGTCATAGATGTATAGGATACTTTTTTTAATCCTACGCGGCGAAGTCGCAGGTGAAAGCCCCCAATATTTGTATACTATTAGAGTAGGTTTCCACTGTCCAATTGTTTTACATGACACCGTCACATTTTTACCAGAAATTACCGCAACGGAATATCACGGTAATATAAAATTTCAATATCGCACCATTAATAAGTATCTATACTAATATTATAAATGGACAAGATTTGTATTTTTGGATTTTGGTATATATCGAAATAACTCAAAAACTGCTGAGCCGATTTCAAAAATCCTTTCACAATTAAAAAGCTACGTTATCACTGAGTTACATAGGCTTTTTTTGATTCCATGTGGACGAAGTCGCGAGCAACAGCTCAGATTTAAATACTTTAAATGCGAAAGTTTAGATGGATGTGTTAGAATTTGTAGCCTAAACTGCATAACGGATCCCGACGTAAGTCATAGATGTAGAAAATATTCTGGACTTCTTACTTTTGTTTTTTCACTCGACAAAGGTAATGTGTTTTAGTTATATTTATTTTGTTATCAAACTTTAATTTGTTTTAGGTACATGGTCTGTGATTTTATTCTGTTTTTATTTTTCCCGGAAGAAGTCGCGAGCAATAGCTAGTGCTTAATCATCATCAACTTGCCTTTATCCCCTATGGAGGGTTGTGTGCTGTGTGTGTGTGTTATGTGCTGCTCTTCCATACATCTCTATCAGTTGTTATACGATGGGGACATAAACGTAACAAATAAAACATAATTTATGAGCTAGTGTTTCATAAAGTTACAATTTCTCGTTTGTAGGTTTTGACGGCTGATAGAGATGTATGGAAGAGCAGCACATACTGTACCGACCCTCCATAAGGGATAAGGGCAAGTGTATGAGGTTTTGAGTGTTTTTATACGAAATAAAACATAAAAATATTCTAACATTTTTATTTTACATAAGAATTTTACAACTAGTAAATCGTGGATTTACAATTGAATGATATAAAATAAATGTTAAAAATAATCAGTCTTTTTGAAGATAAAAATTACATTAAAATTTCACTACTCCAATTGCAGAAGCAATATTACAATTTCAAAAATAGAATTTACAACATTAAAAAAAAAATAATTACCAATATCCAGATTAAAATATTAAAAACATTTATACACGAGTGATGTAAAACTTAGTTAATATTTGGCATTATTTGGCAGTAAAGAATAGTCTATTAATTTCCTATTTAAAAGAGCAAAGACATACAATATACTTATAGACGAGGCAGTGAACATTTTTCACCGGTACTTTCTCTCAAAGGTACTACATCAGTTGTCAAGTTTAGTGCCATCTCGTGTCTCGTATTGACATGTAAAACATTTTTCAAAATTATAATAAGCGCCATCTTTTGTTATAAATGTTTAATATTTGTTGTAGTACTTTTAGTTTATTTTACAACAAAAGATGGAGCTTATTATAATTTTGTCAAATGTTTATATGTCATTACGAGACGATGGCACTAAACTTGACAACTGATATAGTACATTTCAGAGAAAGTACCGGTGAAAAATGTTCAGTGCCGCGTCTATAAATTATTTCAATGTCTTCATATTTAATTTAAGAATGATATGATGAATCTAACTATATTTATAGTAAATTGTAAAGAAAATTTACAATATAAATACTTATTGTTTCTACTAGTTTTATAATTTAACTATATACAAGTGTAAAAAAACCGTTAAATTTTGAAACAAATTTTGTAAACAAGATTTACGAAATCGTAAAATTACAGAATATTATAAAACCTCATTTGCATTTAAAAATTGAATTACAAAAAACTAACAATTACTGCAATCTAAGGTGATGTTGATATTTACAGGATTCTTGTAGAAATATCAATTAAAATGTTTATCTTAAATAAAATTGCAGCTACCTGTGATGTGGTACTTTGCAGGTTTCTGTAAAAAATATAGTTTATTATCAGTCAAACAATTGTATCTTTTTATATTAGCAATTAATACATAAAATTATTAAACGCCAGAATATATAGGTCAAGGTTCTTTAATTTACTATTTGAAAGTGATGTTTGTAATGTGAAGGATTTTTAAGCGTGCCTTTGAAAATTTTCTAAACAAGGGATCGCTTATTAATTTAAAACTAGCTTTTAAAAAAAATCTGGTTAGTCAATATCGAACAATAGAAGGCGCTGAAATTGGGCGTAGAATTTTACAAATCATATTAATAAATACACAAAACTTTATTCAATTAAAATAGGAACACAATTTATAAGAACGAGATTTGAACATTTAGCAGTAAAGTTAATTTTTTTTTAAAGAACTGGCCATCAACAATCCGCAAAATTAAAAAAAAATAATAAAAACAACAATAAGATTTTAGACAAAACAAATGAATGCTAGAACGAATGAAGTAACAATTTGATGTCTTCTAATAAATTGTAAATATTATATGTATTAATAAAGAAGATAAAAAGCAAGATGGTATTTGATTTCTTTTATCCATTTTTCTAGAACATTCGATTGTTAAAAAAATTTAAATGTTAAAATGTGACTTACTTCTTTGATTACTTTTTAACGTCGTCGTTCTCGACACGCAGTCACTTTCCTCAGATTCTGATCTCATTTGAAAACTTGTTTCTGTAATAAAACAAACGTTTAACGTTTAATATTAACAATAATTATAATACCTTATGCAAATACTATATAGGAACTAAACATCACGCTAGGCGTAGCCAGTATTAATCTAAGAACAGGGAAGTCAACATTACTATCCATTAGCGAATCCCTTAATTAGATACTTAAAAATGATTGCTTATTTAAATAATTACAATTAGGAAAAAAGTAAAAAAATGTCTTACAAAGCTGACAAGATTGTTAGTGAAATTTAAAATACAAGAGAGATAGTAGCAAGAGAAGTAGATTTAATATCGTTTCTTTATCTAATTAAAGAAATATCTAAGGAGTGCAAATTATCTTATGTATAATTTTCTTTACATAGATGTCGCAATCAGAAGAAGAAATCAATTTGAATTTAAGTCATAATTAGAACGCGAGCGCCGCCACGACTTTCGTGAGAACTTAGATTATTCTGAAAATAGGGATCGTTGTGAGGACATTGTTTGAACGATATGAGCTTGGTAGATCGATGATATCTGACTGAGGAGTGTTGTGAATGTATTCCTGGAATGCGACTTTACCCATGGCCGCCCACATTAGATCTCGAGTAGTAGTAATTCTGATATCGTGACGCCGTCCGCGTGGTAATGAAAAAACAAAAGTGAGTAGCCTATGTGTTCTTCCAGACTATCCTCTACATTTATACCAAATTTAATCGAAATCCGTTAAGCCGTTTATGCTACAAACTCTAACAAACATCTATCCATCCATCTTAATTCGCATTTCTAATATTAGTATGAAGTATAATTTAAATCTATAGAAACATTCTTACCGCTATCATATCTCGACTTGCTGTTCCCTGGTATATGTATTCTGTTTGGTATCTCCTGATTGTCCACATGACCAAATGTTCGGAATCCAATCGCGAATTGTGCATATGGGCTTATTTCGTACAACTCTGGAAAATAAATCACATTGTTTGTATAAACTTAGTAGCTTTCGCCCACGATACCGTCCGCATAAATTAAAAAAAACCGACTTCTAAACAAAATACACTAAAAAACAAAATATTCTCAAAAAAACAGTACACTAAAAAGTAACGAAATAATTCCTTGAAAATAGTAAACTTCCCTTATTGTAACTTATGTCTATATTGTACAATTATTATTACTTTGATGTCGGTGTCAGCCGAGGTGTGCAATGTAAGTTATACGCAAGGCTTTCTATATTTTTACAATAACAATTGACAATTGAAAGTATAGTAACAATTAAGTAATGAATCTACATTGACTGACACCGACTTCAAAGTAATAATAATTGTACAATATAGACATAACAGCTACAATAAGGGAGGTGTACCATTTTCAAAGAATAATTTCGTTACTTCTTAGTGTACTATTTTTGACCGACTTCCCAAAAGAAGGAGGTACTCAATTCGTCGATATATTTTTTTTATGAGTATATTATGTTTTTAGTGTATTTTGTTTGGAAGTCGGTTTTGTTTTTTTTATTAAAAAGTTTATTTATTTCTCGATATTTAGTGAATTTAAACATCGCAGTATGATAATCATTAGCTTTTAAACAAAGAATGAGTTATCTTAATCGATTATCTAAGAAATTAAGTAAAGAACTAATACATCGTTGCGATCATTCACTCGTAATTCTGTCCAGCCGCGTGCCGCTGTTACCCGTGAGTTTTAATGTTTTGATATATGTATATCAAAATGTCAGTAGCGTGTATATGTTTGTATACCATGTTTAGCGTCAGCAGTGAGGTGCACAGGCGTGCTGTAGACACGGTTGTCGGGCGCGCTCTGCGGCGTGTTGGCGGTCGCGTTGCTCCTCTCCGACTTGCACTCCGCAGTCAGAGAGTTGCGATACTCCGTCAGTCGGTGGTGGCTGCAATGAAAAGATACATTTGTTTAACTCATAAAAAAGATAATATATAATCATAAGAAAAAGGTAATGAAAATGCGAATGTTAAGATGGATGTGTGGGGTAACACGATTGGATAAGATACGAAATGAGTATATTAGAGGAAGTTTGAGAGTAGCCCCAGTGGTTGAGAAAATAAGGAGTAAAAAGTTAGAGTGGTATGGGCATGTTATGAGAAGGGATGAATCGCATGTAACAAGAAGGATGTTAGTTATGAATGTAGAGGGGTAAATCGGTAGAGGTAGACCTAGAAAGAGATGGATGGATTGCGTGAAAGGTGACATGATCAAGAAGGGAGTGATGACTGAGATGACGGATGATAGAATGCTTTGGAGAACGAAAACCCGGTGCGCCGACCCTACGGGAGTAGAATAAGGCAGGGGAGATGATGATGATGAAGATAAAGAAAAAGGTAATGAAATTAAATTACTTACTGATGTCTTTTAACTAAAATATAAACGCAGGCCAGAGAGCAAAGCAGCAGTAGAATGGAACTGCAAATTATCACCAACATGTTTAAATCCATGAAGTCTGTCGGCGGACCAATTGACTCTGAAAATAGAGAAACAAAAAATACATTTTAAGCGAATTCAAGACTAAGTAAAGTCTCAGAAAAAACGTCACAAAACAGTACATTTAGTATTAGAAGAAAAAATGTTTCAAAGGCTATAACCTATAAAAGTTGGCGGACCTCTTTTGGTACTTAACTGGAGGCTGGACTTTAGTAAATAAAAAAAGATTTTATACCATACGATTAAATAAATAAGACTATTAAATAGATAAATAATATACAAAATTTAATGTAACATATCAGATTATTCTCCTAGTTAAAAAATAAAAAAATATAGAAAATCAGTAAATTTGGTAATCTAATGTAGAAATAATTTTAATAAATAATCAACTATGTCATCTATACTTATATTATAAAAAGGAAAGATTTGTATTTTTGACCGACTTCCCAAAAGAAGGAGGTACTCAATTCGTCCGTATGTTTTTTTTTTTATGTGTGTTATGGCATAACTCCGCCGCTAGTGGACCCATTTTGATAATTCATTTTTTATCCGAAAGGTAATTCTTGCAGGTGGGTCCCATTTTTTTGTTTAATTTTTTTGTATTTATTGAAATAACTCAAAAACTACTGGGCCGATTTTAAAAATTCTTTCACCATTAGAAAGGTAATTTATCTGAGTAACGTAGGCTATTTATTATAACTAATGTTTAGGAACTATTAATAATTTACTATTATTTTCTTTAACCATTCCAACTAAGCTCTAGGCTTGTAAATACTATTAACGTATTATCAATATTAATATACTCAAGTTACTATTCAAATATTTTTTACTAGCGGTTGTTTGCGACTTCGTCCACGTTGAAAAAGAGTAAAAAACATATCCTATGTTACTTAGGGATATCATACCTTTTTTATGGTAAAAGAAATATTGAAATCGGTCCAGTAGTTTTTAAGTTATTTCAATACATAGAAAAAAAATTATAAGCATTGAACCCTCTCAGTTGAAGGTTGGACTTAAAAATGATAGAATTGGAAGAGTGTCCCTTTTGCATCCTCACGTAGAGTGTTATAAGGATAAGGTGATTATGAATTACTAGCTTTCGCCCGCGACTCCGTCCGCGCGGAATTGAAAAAAACAAAAGTGTGTAGCCTATGTGTTCTTCCAGACTATCCTCTACATTTATGCCAAATTTCATCGAGATCCCTTCAGCCGTTTAGGCTACGAACTATAACAAACATCCATCCATCTAAACTTTCGCATTTATAATATTAGTAAGATTTATTAGCTATATGAATACACTTAAAAAAGGATTAAGTATCGTATCGTACCTCCTAAAGCATTTGTCGTGGCATAACTATATAACGAAGTGGAAATTCCTGCAGAATTCTCAGCAACAATCTTAATCTGGTACCACTGAGCCGGTAACAAGTCGGCGATCACAAATGTATTCGGTTGGTTCAGTATCGACGCCATGTAATGGTTCCAAGTTTGGTCCAATTGCGGCTGAAATATTAAACACAAAAATTAAGTCTAAGGCAAACGAGCAAGCGGCCACCTGAATCCACCGAAATAGAAAGCGAACGGCTGCCCATAAACATCCGCAATTGCAGATGCGCTGCCTACTCTCAATTGACGGAGGAGGAGACGCACATAAAGAGAACATTTCCCCTTCCCATGCGTCTCCTCCAGCGTCAAATCCACTTTTTCTTCCCATCCTTTCCTCTGAAATAAGGGGTGGAAAGGGAAAGGGACTAAAATTAGGCCTTAGGCACTACACTCATCAGACGAAACGCGGAATTACTTCCACTTCACGCCTGTTTTCTGTGTGGTCGTGGTATTACACCGGGCGTGTGCACCCATTCATGCGTAGATGTTAAAGCGGGTTCTTTTACTGCAAAAATTCTCTTCTTCTAATTTAGCCAGACAAATAACCTATAGACAAGGCATAGTGAACAACATTTTTACCTTTTAATGCCATCGCGTGTCTTTTATCGACATGTAATAAAACATTTTACAAAATCATAATAAGTCTTTGTTAAAAATATAAAATATATCATGATACCCATTGGCAATTCATTTAAATAAAATTAATTGCCAATAGGTGTCCAATAACATTTAAATAATTACATTTTATTTTTAGATATTGTTTAGTTTATTTTATAACAAAAAGATGGAGCTTGTCATATCTTGGATAAGATTGTCAAATGTTTTTATTACAAGAACACGAGATGGCACTAAACTTGACAACTGATTTAGTATACCTTAAACAGAGTCCCCGGGGAACAAAATTTTGATCACCGCCTCATCCATATATTTATTAAATTTATTTGGATTTTGCAGAGATTATTGTTAGCTAGATCATGCATAGATGATGAATCTTTTTCGCTTATTCTACATTTAAATGTCAAATTCAAAGAGAATCACTAAAACTGTTCTTATAAATAAAGTCTCACCAATCTGTTCTCCGCTTTTCTCCACAATTTGCTTCCATATTCCTTATAATCGACGTCCCACTTGGTGATTTCACAGCCGTTGTCATCCCAGCCGCTCAGTTGGATGTAGATGTGACTGGCGTTGCTCCAGAACCATTCTGTTGTTGTCGGCGCTATCGGTACTGAGAAATACGTATTACTAAATAACTTTCGCCTGCTACTTTTGAGTGGATTAAAAAAAGAGCCTAGTATCCTCTACATCCATGCCAAATTTCATTGAGATACATTCAGCAATATAGGCAACTCTAATAAACATTAATTGATCCGTCCATCCGTCTAAACTTTTGTATATTTTGCATAACTTTTGCAAAGATTTGAATTTTTGTATGAATTGAAATAACTCAAAAACTACTGGGCCGATTTTATTTTTTCTTATAACATTAAAAAGCTACGCTATTTTTTATTGTTTTTCAATTTAACGCGGACGAATTCCAGAGAGCCAAAGTTTTTTCCCATTTAATTGGCAATGAAATACAAAAAATCATTTGATTATTTTAGAAATATGCAGCAGTGTTCACACGCGAATCTTGAAGTCCATCTTTACATAATATGTAAGTAACTTGTCATTATTTCAATTAAAAGTAATACCTCCTCCTAAAGTATTAGCATCAAGGTAAGATGGCTGCGAAGAGCCCACACTGTTAGCAGCCGTCATACGCAGAGAGTATTTAGTGCCACATTTCAAGCCTTGTATCGTGAATTCATACACGTCTCGTATTGAGGTGCCTTTGTTAGACCAAGAGTCCTGCCAGGAAAGGTTAGCTTCTTTCCATGTTAAGTTATATCCTGCAAAGTGTAACATTTTATTTAATTAAAATACAAATATTTTATGGGCAATATGTCTTAATGTTAAAAAAAATTATACAGATATTCTGAACGAAAAGTATGTATACATAAAGCAAATTATTCTAGTAGAAAAAAAATCCTCGACACTACAGAGGGCTCTCCAGACTATCTATATACCAAAGATGTATAAGAAATATAGACTAGACAGAGTGAACAATTAAGGTCCATTTTTTTTATTAAATAAACTAAACAGTGTCACAAAGAAAACATGAACATTTATACATTATTGAGACCTATTGGCAAATCATTTGAATACAATTAATTATATTGACATGTGGTTTGAAGAATCTACTAATTGATAGCGTTACTGAATCTTGTGAAAAATGTCTCAAGTGAAGTGTCAACTATACTCCCTCTGTATATTTTTGAAACTCTTTGTTTAATACCTATATCAACGATGGTGTGTTTCTGGTTTGAAATGGCAAAGATGTTTCTATTCTTTCAGTTTCCACTGTACCAGGTGTAGCACACCCTGTGATCAAACTAAGATTATCATAGTCTATACTCTATATGTACATTTCTTATTTGCGCTGTAAGCGAGATACGTATCTCGCTATCTCGCTCGTATATATATATATTATACTAGGACCTGTTTTGTGAACAACAGGAGGAGTTTTAGACCTGGTTTCAGATTGAACGTGTGTTGCTGTAAAGGTATTCAATATTAATTTACTGCTATAGAAAGTGAACTAACAAGCAACTGGCTATCTAATTTCGCTAAAATAACAGTTACCACTATCGTCGACGAGGTCGCTTCAAGAAATGGTCATATATATATAAAAAATTACCAATTTTCTGTGTTTTTCCATTTAATTTCCTTGGTGGATCCCATTGGACATGCAAGGCATTTTTATGCGACGTCACTCTCAAGCTCGGCGGCTCCGGTGTAGGCAGGACTGACACTTCGTAGGAAACTGAGTCAGATCCGTATAGATTTTTCGCTAAGCAGGTATAGTTGCCACTAAGAGATTGATCAATATCTGCAAATAAAAATGTATTAAACTCTAGACGGGTGCATAATCATCGAAGTTTGGTAGAGGTATGGTTTACAATATTCCAGTTACAAATATTTGCCTTTCATCAGCAACGGACTGCGCCCCTTCTTACAACCTCAACTTAAGGTAGGCTCCAAACCTTCAATCATCATCACATTAATCATCATCTCCAGCTTACTATACGTACTATAAAAAGCTGGTGATGATGTAATGTGCTCCAAACTGTAGTTTATTGTTACAACAATTTATATTTCTATATCTTTACTAATATAATAAAGCATAAACACACTACTTAGTTACATAGGATGTCAGCATCACAGTATATATTTGAATATTTTTTCCTTTAATAAATAGCGTCCATACTTACTACACGCTTTAGGCTATATATTTTCATGCTATTATACTTAGGGAGTAAATTATTTGTAAAAACTCATGCGGGACATAAACTACAAGCTGAAACAAAGCAACATCGAGAAAACAAGCCCATTACCATCTAAATGAAACTATATACTGACTATTGATGAGCAGACTGTCGTCGTGGTTGCGAGTGAAGCGCGGGTGGTGCGTGATGATGTTGTGGTTGTGGTACCACACCGTGCGCGGCGGCGGCGCGCCCACGCACGCGCACGCCAGCAGCAGCGAGCGCCCCACGCCCGCAGACACCGCGCCGCCCAGCGACGCCACCCCCGCCACCACTGGACAAACATACACATTTTATATCGCTTACGTTAGCTCACTGAGGGGCTCGGAATCTACCCAATTACAGATGCGTTGCCTGCCCTTAATCAACGAAAAATGAGACGCACATAAAGATGATATGCGTCTGCTCCACATTCAAGCCCACTTTCTTTTCTCATGATTTCCATATAAGAAAAAGATGGGAAAGGAAAGGGACTAAAATAAGGCCTCCGGCACCACACTCATTAGACTAAACGCGAAATTTCTTCCACTTCACCCCTGTCTTCTTTGTAGTCGTGGTATTATACCAAGCAAAACAGCACTATAGTGCGAAGATGTTGAAGCGGGCTCTACCACTATAAGACATTTCCCAACGTAGTATAGAAACACCCTTCTAGAGATAGTTCAAAAGGAAGGTTTCAATTAGGAATGTGAACCGACACAGAGAAAGGGATAAGATTTCCATGTAATGACGAGAAAGGTAAAATGATCTTTATTTTACTAACCTTTAGAGGTGAGTTCAGCGTGCACCCTGTGACTGGGCGCGCCCTCGCCGGCCGGCGTGTGCGCGCGCACGAACACCTCATAGCGCGCGGCGGAGAGCGCGCTCAGCGGGAACGAGAACTGACGAGACAAGTTGGACTCCTGGCTCGCCTCGATACGGTGGTGCTGCGGCGCGCCAGTACTGGAAAGTAACATATATGATGTACAGAATTTCACGATCTAAAACTGGATTTACAAACACTTCAATTACTTAATATTTTAAACATATAGTTTAAGAATCTTTATTTACCTTAATAAAAAAACTTATAATTCACTTATAATAACTTATGCTAAATATAATATTTTGCGCAAGTGTACTGACAATTTAGCATAAATTTACTAAATGCGGGTAGCTACAAAACATTACGTAGACAAACTAATACTACTATCAAGTTGCATCGAGATATACTGGATGTGGTATGGAATACGTTCATTAATTTATTCTTTGAATTTCGTTTTGCTTTTTATTTTTAATGTTTATTTTTTATTAAATTATTTATTCCTCCTATTAACTACTAACTTCATCCCAGAATATTAGACTCTCTACATAACAAAGATCAGTATAATTAATTTTGCCCGAGGTTGTTCCTGTGAATTTATAAAAAAAAAAACACAAGTAACCAAATATTGCGATTCGCAGTTTAGACGGCATATTCAAACAAACATCCATCAAAACTTTCGCATTTATAATATTAGTAAGAATACCTTGATACAGGCTTTACATAGACCGTGTAGTGCGTTATTTCGCCATTGGGCTGATCTGGTTTCTTCCAGCTAACAAGCAATGAGGTAGGTGACGAAACTAGCAACTTTATTGCTGAGGGGGGGCCGGGCACTGAAAAATAATACAATTGTTTTCTGTATATATCTATCTTTACTAATATAATAAAGCGTAAACACAGACCACTTACTTATTTAGGATGTCAGCAATCGCAGTATATTTTTGAATAACTCTTTTTTGTTCAAAAGACCCTATACTTACGACACGCTTTAAGCTATAAGTTTTACACTATTTGCACTTAAGGGGTAAATTGGAAATAATTGTCATGCGGGAAGGAACAAACACTACAAGCTGACATCATCAAGGAAAGAAGGTTGTCATGGTAACGGCAATTGTTATCCAATGCCAAGGCCTTTGCAATAGAAAATTTTACAAATGTAAACAATACAATAAATTTTTCAAAATGTTATACGAATGAAGTCGCATGAGAATGAAACGGATTAGACTTCATCTTTCTTTATCATTCTATTCAAAAGTTGAAATGCTTACCATCTTGTAATGTTGTGCAGATGACAGGGTAAGAGAATGGTCCAACACCGTAACTAGAGAATCCTGCCACTTTGATCGTATAGTTTGTATACTTCAGTAGTCCTTGCAGGTACAGCTCTGTGTGTGGTGACGTCAGGTTTGACCATGGACCATCTGGAAATAAATTCTCCGTATCAAAAAAGTACTGATTGAAGTCTCTATTTATGAACATTCTAGAATTAAACGTTATAGAAACCTTAAAATGAATCTTACTAATCTATGTCTATACTATTATAATAAAGCGTAAACCCACACTTCTTTGTTGCCTAAGATGTCAGCAATTATAGCATATTTTTGAATAATTATTTTTGTAATAAAAAGCCCTACGCTTACGTGATGCTTTAGGCTATATATTTTAACACTATTAAACATAGGGGGATGAAAACCCTAATGTGGGAAAGACACCACAAGTTGCTGCCGAGTATGCAAAATTGCCATAGTTAGGTAATTGGTATTTTGACATTTGCAATTGATTATTTGACAAATGTAAACAATACAATAACATTTTCTTAACTTTATGCGGATGAAGTCGCAGGGGAACAGCTAGTAATATTATTAATGAGAAAGTTTAGATGGATAGATGTTTGTTAAAACATATAAATGAGTTATTATTCTTAGACATTGGCAGCACAGGATCTATAATATCATAACAATTACCTTCAGTGCTGTAGTGCACGGTGTAGCCGAGCAGAGAAGTGCCGTGTGACGTCACCGGTTGCCAGGCAACGCGCAACGACGATGACGTCACGCCGCGGCACTCCACCGCCGCCGGAGACTGCTCTGGCGCTGAAAATTGTTGTTAATCTAGATTGACTAGAATTCTTAAACTCCCGTAGTTTTTCCCAAAATTTAGTTAGATGGATAAATGTTTGTTAGAGTTTGTAGCCTAAACGGCTAAAACATTTGGTATAGAAATGATTTTTGGTATAGAAGTAGAGGCTAGTCTGGAAGAACACATAGGCTACTCACTTTTGTTTTTTTAATTCCACGCGGACGGAGTCAAGGGCGAAAACTAGTATGGTAATAATTTATTACTACAAAAAGCAGCTAAAGCACTCTTAGGTCAGATTTTTATAGTTTTTTTTATATGTATGTATGTTCGTGTGAAAAAGAAGTAAAAAAATGTTTTTCCTATTTTCTTAATTTACGCGGGTGAAGTCGCGTGCAAAGATTAGTCTCTTATGTGTTTAAAGCATTTATAATCTTTACCTCCTTCTCTGGTTGTTTGATAAACCGGCAGTGAATAAGGGCCGGTGCCTGCCGAATTAAACGCACTCACGGATACAGCATACCTGAAATATTATAAGAATAGAATACATATTTATGTTGCCACACAAACAAACACATAGTTAAGCAAGTTAAATCATAGTCTCAGATCATCCACAAAAATACTGAACTTTTATCACAAAGACTTAAAAGAACTTCTTTGGAAATACATATCTATACTATTATAATAAAGCGTAAACACACACTTCTTTGTCGCCTAAGATGTCAGCAATTACAACACATTTTTGAAAAATTCTTTTTTAAATAAAAAGCCCTACATTTACGTCCCGCTTTAGGCTATATATTTTCACGCCATTAAACTTAGGGGTAAATATGGTGGATAAAAACCTTATTGTGGGAAAGAGACCATAAGTTGCTCCCATCATCAAAGAAACAAGATTGCCAAGGTTTGTCATGTCATGTCATTTTGACATTTGCTATTGATAATTTGACAAATGTAAACAATAAATAAAAAAAATATAATTTTATGCGGATGAAGCCGCACGCGAACCGCTAGTAAAGAAATAAATATAAAGCTATAATTAATTCTACCTGGTATTCTTCAACAGTCCACTCAACACTGTTTCTTGTTTCCCATTGCGCGGAGTCACTTTTACCATTTTTGTATGAGTATCGTTTGGACCTTTAAAGTAGAGAAATATAAATTATAACTTACCTTATAGCTTAGTATTATGATCTAACTTTTAAATATATTGCATTTTAATCATATAAAATATTTGTATAAAACAGCGCCATCTATTGTACCATTCACATAACATAATAATATTGTATTAGCGCCATCTATCGCACGTCAATAATACCTGATTCACCGCTGATCCTCGGTACTGCTTTCACGTGGTATCCCTGCAGCGGACCGCGGTGCGTCTCTCGCGGCGGCGGCAGCCACCATACAACCAGCTCGCCCGGGTTCTCTGTCGACTGGACTTGTACGCTCAGTGGACTTGATGAAGGTGCTGGAATAATAGTTATATTGTATTGTATCAATGCTCATAGAACATGCAATATTACTAATATATAAATGCAAAAGTTAATACGGATGATGTTTGTTAGCGTTTGAAGCCTAAACTGCTGAACGATCTCGATGAAATTTGGCAGAGATGTAGAACATTGTCTAGAAGAACACAGGCAGCTTTGTTGTTTTTTTAATACCACGCGGACGGAATCTCGGGCGAAAGTTAGTTTGAAATACATTTTTGGCCGAAACGTTACTACAAAAAGTCCTGTCCATAGAATATCTTAGAGTGGGAACACAGCTTTGACACAACGGTTGTGTGATTGTCGATTGTTTCGCAGCCAACCAACTGTTTAGTTGCACAACTAAAAATGGCGTAGTGTGCGCACCATATAAGCTCTTAGGAATCAAAGCGCGACTAAACTGTTTTGGGATAGTGTAGTCAAAGGTTTGCTCTTTGTCATAATGTGTAGTAAATCTTAAGAGTCGAGAATATAAAAATATGTTCAACCAACCTTCTTGCATCGTAGTGAAATGCACTGGCTGCGTAAACTGGCTGAGATCAACTTGATTGCCAGACGCAACTCTGACTCTGTATTCAACTGCGGGCTGCAAGTCTCGGAGCTCTATGTTTTGTCTTATATCGTTCTCTTGTCTGGAAATAGCAAAAATGTATATTGAAAATACTACCTTATTAGTTCGTAAAAAAAGTTTGTCACATGAAAAAAGAGATGGCGCTGATGCGTAATTTAAATTATTGAAACAATTAATTCTTAGAAACAGATTTAGTACAAGTTTAGATTTTTAGTAAAAAAAAAGCTGTAGGTGTGCTTAGCTACAAAACACATTGTTTAGTAGCTATAAAAAAAGAGATTTAAAGAGTATATAGAAGAGGCATAAGGCATAGTTGGAATTTCACATGGAAAATTTCATCCTCAAGACCATATGTAAATGTAAATAGTTTTATTTAAATCAATTGCCAATAATTTTGTATTATAATCTTTTATTCCATGGACACGAGGTGGCTCTAAACTTGACAACTTCAGTTTAGAGAATGTACAGGTAAAAAAAATATTCACTGTCTCGTCTAAATATTACTGAGTCTAAGTAAAACTAATACATCTAAATACAAATACAAAGACTCAATACATAACACCAGCTACAATATAATACGTTTAGTATTTTTATATTGTTGACTAGCTGTTCCCGTGCGACTTCATCCGCGTAAAATTATGAAAATTTTATTTTATTATTTACATTTGTCAAATTATCAATAGCAAATGTCAAAATGACATGACATGACAAACCTTGACAATCTTGTTTCCTTGATGTGGGCAGCAACTAATGGTCTCTTTCCCATATTAGGATTCTTATCCAAAATATTTACACCCTAATTTTAATGGCGTGAAAACATATATCCTGAAGCGTGACGTTATAAAAAGCCCTACGCGGCTTTTTAATATATAAAGAATTATTCAAAAACATATTGTAATTGCTGACATCTAAAGCAACAAAGCAGTGTGTATTTACGCTTTATTATAATAGCATATATTTCATTGTTGGTCTGTGGGGCTGTGTGGATGATGGACACAGGGCGCCACCCTAGTTTGGTCACCAGTCTTGCCCATAAGGGACATTAATTTTTTTTTTATACTTTTAAATCTATATTACCTGGTGATATTAATACTCTTCCCGGAGTCCCACAGCATGTAATCGTTAGTTGCGTACTGCAGCGTATAGTACTGCACGTGCGCTCGCAGCGCGTCTCGCCACGACAGCTTCACCCCGCCGCTGGACACAGAGTCCACCTGCAAGTCCATCGGCGGCGTCGGCGGCTCTGAAATACAAGTGGTTATTGTAAATCTATAGTACGATTATAAAGAGGAAAAATTTGTATTTTTGTATATCTTACTAATATTATAAATGCGAAAGTTTAGATGGATGGTTGGATAGATGGATGGATGGATGGATGTTTGTTAGCGTTTGTAGCCTAAACGGCTGAACGGATCTCTATGAAATTTGGCACAGGTTTAGAGC